CTGTATTACTATAGGTACATTTCTTTTGGAGATCCTTCCTGTATTATAAATATTACTTTTTTTGTTTGTATTTTTTTTTTTTTTTTTTCTTTTTGTGGATGGAGCAATAGTTTCTGTATTGTGTACAGAGGCTAAGAGGCTGGCCATTCGTGTGTGTGTATGTGTGTTAAAAGTCACCGTATTAAGCATGTTACAAGTGTGTGCGAAGTGTTAATGAGCAAGGTGTGTGTGTGATCGGCGTGGTAGTAGTAGTAGTGGTAGTGTGGTGACGATCCTCCGGATTATCCATCATCGCCATACGGTCGATTATTATGCATCGCTGACCAACGGGGCATTTGAGAGAGTGCCCAGAACGGGACGCTCAGCATGAGGACATGGGGTATCCAGCCAAGGATGATCTTTTTGCCGGTGGACAGGCGAAACCGCGGTGGTCCACAAACGGGCATGTGGCGACGCACCTGCTGCATCTGGCTGGCATAGCCAGTGCCAATAGCTGTCCTAACTCCACCGATCCAAGGCTGGCTCCAAGCCTGACCATTGGGCACAGACGTTCGCTTGATGGGCTCCATCAAAAGGTTGCTCAAATGTGTAAGATTCATCTTTAGTGCTGCGAATAACATAAAATCTATATTAATAAGAATAATGGAAATAAATAAACATAATAGAAAACACAAAATTTGAAAAAAAAAATACAAAATTTGAAAGATAAAAAACTATTAAAATAAATATACAAATTTAAAAAAAAATTAATGTTTTTATAAATTTCAGAAAATACGAAATTGGAAAAATCCTTTAAAAATTTATATAGCTAGTGGAAAAAAATATTCCTGAAAAATGAATATAAAGCAAACGAAAAAAAAATCCTTTTTAAACTTTGGGAAAAAAAAATGAAATCTTACTAAAAATTTTAACGCCTTATCGGAGCTAAATTCGAATATCTAATGAAGATTCAGGCAAATGAACACATAGCACAAGGCCTGGTGAAAAGGCGAAACCTACTGAGATTTTGTTTTCTAAACAATATTAGAAAATACAAAATTTGAAAAAGAAAAAACTATTAAAAAAAATATAAAAATTAATAAAAAAAATGTTTTTTTAAATTTCAGAAAATACGAAATTGGAAAATCCTTTAAAAGTTTATATAACTAGTGAAGACAAATATTCCTGAAAAATGAATATA